AGCTAAAATGAACTGAAATACTGAGTAGCTCAAGATACTGACATGCTATCTGAGAATGCAACATAAATATATTGAAAGATATGGCATTTGAATTCTGAAGCATGATTTTCTGACGAAACTAACTAGTAAGTATAATTCATGAAGTACTACTAATTAATACAAGCTAGGGTTCTGAGTTCTATACATGGGACTATGCAAATTTTCCAAGAAACGTGTTATTTAGATCATGGAAACTATAGCAGCTAAAATCACAATGAATCTCCAAGGTTTTTGGAAACCCTAGGTCTGAACAATTTATGAAAAATTGAAGAACTGACTGAATTATAGGGACCTAATGGGTGAAAGGAACCCACTAGTGAAATCCCACATACCTGGTGAAGAAAACTACAGAGAAATTTGAGTTTGAATAAGACCTCTGCTTGTTTTTGGGAGAACTATTGCCTCTTTTCTCTTCTTTTTATTCTAAGTTAGATGATTTTAGGAGACTGAAGGTTCTAAGTAGTTTCTGACTAGATTATTAGGCTTAGACTACGTAAAGCGACGTACTTTAGGCATCAAACGACATAGTTTAAGTGCCCAAAGCATAGGGGAAAAGACCAATACAACCCTAACTTAAAAGCTTACGAAGTGACTTCAAGAGAGGCGAGACGGGCCGTCTAGAGCATCATGACCCATTTAGTGGGTCGTGGTCCTCGTCCTACCAGCCAGGGCTTTACTAAAACGAGCATAACTTTTTACTCCAGGCTCGAAATAAGGCAAACTCAATGGCGTTGGAAAGAGAATTCCATTATCTTTAATTTAAAAGGTAATGGGACACCTAATTCATTTTATTCTGAAATATATGATCATTTGAAGTTGATCTAAACCTCAAAGTCTGGCACGCCCCTTTCACACGCAACTTCACGGCTCGTGTGAAGCTCTACGGGCCGTTTAGGCGACCGTGGTTCTTCACAGATGCTTGGGTATACTGACCCTATTCTCATGGGGAACTCTACGGCTCGTGTGAAGTTCCATGGCCCGTCTAAGGGTCTGTGGTCCTTCACGGTGCCTTGGGTGGTCATGTGTCCCTTTTATGGGCCACTTAATGGCCCGTGTTAAGCTCCACAGACCTTCTAGTGGTCCATGGTCTTTCACCTTTTTCAGGGTTCACAACCACAAGCAACATGATGGGTTGTGGTCCTTTTCACGGACCATGGACCCCTCTATGGTTTGCCCTTCTCTTTTGTTCAATCTTAGTCTAGATATTTGAGGTGTTACAGGGAGGAACTTCGCCACATGAACTTGTTCCTCATTATCCATTGGAGTTATTAGAAAATGATAGGTTCTAATCATATATGACTTTGATTCGATCTGATATCAAGTTTCGCACGGGGTTGTGTGCTTATTTTTAGTCAAACTGAAGATTTACACTAACTAAAATACAACACCTAGTACTATGTTACTCAGTTGGAGATTCATTTGATTTGGAAGAATATGTTGATGCAGACATACCCATAAGGACTTGGATAGGAAGAACTTGAGAAATTCATCTAGAGCTTGGTCTTGTAAAAAAAACTGACACTATTCCCTTAATGATAGGCTAGCAGACTAATAATTTAATGTGTGATTGATTATACAATGAATATCTTCTAACTCAATATTGTATTATTACATGTACACACTACAAACACATCTCGAACAATGTTTAGAAGGTTTGGATATATTATCTCTACTCTCTTAGTAACTACATTAAACAAATTATTGAGGAAGACACAATGGGCCGGGGGAACCTTATTTCTCTGTGATACTCAAGTATGTACCATCATTTTCAATACATGTATTTCATGAGTATGTGTCAAACATAAGAACTAGTGAACCTGGTCCACCCTCCAAATCCAATTTTTTATTAAAATCACCAAGAGACCTCTCTTTGACAATGACCATCCTTCAATCCCAAACAACTCAAATGATGAAGACTTCAATCTTGAAGCCACCCTCACCTAATTTAGGAAGAACCTAGTCCTAGCTCTCACATTTGACCAAGCTCACAAAATCCAAATTGAAATTCCATTTATTCCAAGTGTATAACCAGTTATCTCTCACGAGAACAATTCTCTTAGAAACAAATCACTACCAGTTCCTTCATTATTGATAAGCCCATCTCTATTGCACCAAAATTTGATGTATCTCTTACCTATAGTTGGTATTCCTTCTATAATTAAGGGTGAAACGTCATCAAGAAAAGGCTATCTAACAAAAGAACCATGGAAGAGTGAAAATTTTATGAAGTTGGACCAGAGTTAAAAATTTTGAAATTTTGATGCAGCTAAACCAACTCCAGAGAAAGAGAAATCCATAACTCAATTGTTGTTGGTCCTAATGCTTTTAAATGCTCACTTAGTCTCCTTGGAACTGAAGATGCTCGGTTGATGATGAACCTCATGACTTCTCTTGATGAAATACCATTTTTTTAAGAAAACTTATGATAATGAAGGGGAAGGTGCACAATGGACATATTGAAAAACTATTAATGGCAATGAACATCCTCTTCCTCCTCATTTTAGTAATCTTCCTCCCAATCCTTATTCTCCATTTTTTTCCGACTCTTTGATGTGTTTGTGTTTGTCTCATACTCATGATATCATATGCTTTTGATTTAGGGCTCTAAGGGCTTAAACTAGTATATGTTGCTTATTTATATGTTCCTCATTGAATATCTTGGTTGTGTATAAGATGGCTAATATCCTCTAATTAACTTACCTTATTGTTAGTAGAAGTGTACTATATAGTATTGCCCAAAAAAAAGAAATAAAGAAATAGTTGAAATAAAGGAGCAAAGAAGAAAAGAAATAAAAGAGTAAAAAGGAAAGAAATAAGGGAAAACTACACAAATTGTTACGTAAAGTACTTACCAACATTTGACCCAGCCCAATATATTTATCCTAATTGGACCCACAACCCAAACTATTTACGCGACTGCCCCCTTGTTCTATTCACTGAACCAATGTTTCTTCATCCTTGATATCATCACAGTATATATATATTCTAATGGTATCATATACTATAATGGTATCAAGCAGTAATTGAGTACTCTTTTCACTGAAACACTGCATGTTCCTCTTTTATACCATCAGAGTATATATATATATATATATATATATATACACACATACTAGTATATGAACACGTGCGTTGCATGTGTATCCCATATTAATTGGTACACTCAATTTAAAATGAAATACATAAAATTAGAATATGTGTGCCATGAGTTGCACGAAAATTATAGAGAAAAAAAATAAAGAAAAGAATGCTTAGAGATGTATAAAAGAAAAATTATCATCCTCAAATGTATAAAAAGAAAAATTTCAAGAAATAAAAACTGGAAAAGAAGAGAATATTTTTTCCTCCATTCGTTCATAGGAAAAAATAAAGGATAAGTAATCATGCGATTATCAAATGTTTACCAAGAGTGGCTAATAAGAATTTACAAACATAAATATAGGAAACAACTCGTGAAAACCATATAAATCACACTCATATACACTATCTTGTTCCAGCAACTTGTCAAAGATAGACAAAAAGTATTAAAATTCATAAGATATTGTAGGCAAAGAAACCAACAAATATTATGAACGAAAAATGATCATGTGATAAATATTTTATTTATTGCATTTTGATTTACATGTCTACTTACATAATAAAAATAGATCAATAAAGATGTAATTACAAATTACAATAAAAAAAATTTAAGTATAAATAAACAGCAATCAATTAGTAAGCTTATGAGATACATGAATGGGTGGAGCAAAAGGAATAGCACCTAGGATTTTAGGTGTTCCGTCTTACAATAATCCATACCAAAACTGCTTATAATGATAACACAAGAAAAATTTGATCTGGAACCTGGGTGTCTATGCTAATTCATCTTAGAGATCAACTCATTGATGTGATCCTCGCAATTCAGGGTTGTATCGTCTCTTCTTACCCTGCAAAGCTTTCTCTGGCTTGGTGATAGCAAAGGAAGCTAGTGACCTCCTTGAAGTGTGGACCAACACTATCAATCTCTCTCACAACGTCCTCTAAGCATATATATAATGTCATACTGGCCTAGAGTCTGTTCCACAATGTCATTGCTAGCTAGTAACCTTTCTTGTAAATCAGATCCTTTGCGCTTTTCAGGTTTGGGTAGCCATATGTGACATAAGGGTCCACATTTTGTAGAATCTCAACTGTTCTTTCATTTTTTCCTTTACAAAGACCCCACTGAAGATTTTTTGCAACCGCAAAGAGTATAAAGCCTTATTTGTTCTTGGATGCATATCACTTTTCCCTCCAATTCGTATTAAAAATACAAGTTGGAATCTAGGGTTCTCCCCTGATTCTTCCTTTTTCCCCTTTGTTTCATTTGGACAAGGTTCATCTTCTTATCTCTATACTCTCGAATAAACTACTCGGGCTTCTTGATAACAAAACTATCAGATTTGAGAATATGAATTATATTTACGCTGGCAAGAAACCAAAGCATTGGAAAATTTGGGTAGAAGAAAGAGATACATTTTTAGAATTAATGGGCTCTTTAACATACTATTTGACTCTTCATTACCCTTCACATATGTTACAACTCTTCGTTACCCAACTCTACAACTTTTCAGCTAATTTTCAGTTGTAAGATGGAAGCATCTACAAAGCAATGAATAAAGAATAATGTCCAAAAAAATTAATAGATTACACTAAATGCTTGGCACATTCAGGGGATTCAGCCTACTATATATATATATATATATATATATATATATATATATTTAATTAATCATATATTATAATATAGCATAGATGTATAATGATAATCCAACTTTGAGGTTAGGATCTTCTCACTTTTAGTAATACTGTATATGATATATGATGATATGACATGATGATTATGCCTTGACTGAAGAGTTCTGTCTGCAAATGTGTATAAGAATATTCTTTTCTTTATCCCTTAAGGTTCAGCCATAATGTGTCCCATGAAATAACTATTTCTAATTGGCTTTGTTTATAACCTGATTGATGGCTGAATTAACCATGTGCTCTTGTAGATGAATCAGAGATTCTCTAAGAATGTCCGGAGAGGCTTCTACAAGCTGATTGATGAAACGTCCAACTTCTTCCGACTTTGAACCTTTCAAATTTGTACAACATATGTGCATAACCTCCAGTTCAACAGGAATAACCTCCACAAGTAGATTAGCTAGCTTGGAGTTAACTCGAGAGACATCTGATTCATCTAATTCGTCAAGTTGACAATACAAAAGAGTAAAACAGAAGTTTACAACTCTCTGAGCCATAAGTTGAAGATGGGGTATGACATATTCGATTGTCTCATACTCAACGCAACCATTTACTTTCAACCTATGGAAATCTCGTAAATTGCCAAATACATTCTGAAGAAGCTCATATTGAGTCATTGATGTAAAAATAAACTCAGAACACAACTTGGGTAGATATTGGAGATACATGAGGATGGCATCCAAAAGTTCAACCAAACGATCCTCGGTCGTGGTTACACGACTTGGTTCAGCATAGCTAATATAACTTTTGATATTCTCAAAGAGGTCATGATAATTCATATTAACGAGCATGTCTTCTCCATGTAGATGCAAAAGTGACTGAACCAGATCATGAATATCATTTGATATGCAAGACATTTCGTCATTACAACCTTCCGAAAAGAAAGAGTAATAAAGATGACAAAATGCGGACACAAACGTCAGCTCCAATGTCAAATCTTCAATTTGATCTATGTCAAGAGAAGTTAGAACACACCCATTACTTAACCTCTCTATGAAATCTATAAGATTAACATTGTCCTCGTGAAGTACAACGGATGACACCTGCCAAAACACCAATGTTGTTTCAAATTATGTTAATACATAGATGGTGATAGTTTAGATAGAAAAAGGGAACACCTGATAGTTACCTGTGAAACTCATGAAAACTTGATAGTTCATATCCAAAATGGGAACAACTGATAATTGAGGTGTGAAACTCACGAAAACGTCTGATAGTTGAGTTGTGATCAAACTCGCGAAAACGTGATAGTTTATGTATGTTTTGATTATTAACTCTAATTTTCAGTCTTAAATTACAACAGGCAACTATCACAAGTGCAGAAGACTTTCTCCAGAATAGCCTAATAGAGAAGCCAAATGTTTGTTCTGTTACACCTCAATTCTTAAAACAAAAATGACAGCCTGGTGCACTAAGCTCTCTGATTGTTTACGCGCTATCTCTCTAAACAAAAGCTCTTACTTTCTTTGTTCTTAAGCCATTCCGAACATGTTGTACTTAGGCCACCAAGGCCCGATTCTCAGGATCTAATACAAGGTTTGATTATATTCTTGCCCTTATATTCATCTTTTTTTATGACCGTGGTGTTTAGGCTAAATTTCACGCAACTCGACTAATTTCACGAGATACCTCCCACCAGCAACAGGTACCAGGCAACTCTGGCCACCAAGGCTAGGACATATAGGAAGAATCACTAGTATTTTTTGTCTCGCTATGTTTTGAACCTAACACCTCAGGGTTTTCAACCACCCTTATACTCATTTTACCTTGCTAATTTTGTGATTTATGTCATTTCATTTAAAAGATCAATCTAACTCGCGTGTCCTAAAATGAATTTGATAAATTCAACTATAGCAGATGATTTAGTGTATAGATCAGTTTACCTTATATAAACAAAGATTAAATCATCAATTCTTATAATTTATAAATATTATATTCACCATCTAAGTTACATTAAGCAACAAACATACTTACAAGAATATATTAATTAAGTGAATGAAAAAAATAATTAAATATTATATGCAGCATACCAATGATTTGTTATCTTCCCCTTTTGTTTGTCCTTCATTTTCTTTTCCTCTTTCCATTCTCAAGAGAAACAATTTACATCAAACTAAAAATGAAGGAAAATTAAAGGTGTAATAAGAATTTTTTCTTTTCCAGTTGAGAGTTGTAAAGGTGATAAGATAAGCCCACTAACTCACTAGGTGGGGTTCCTATTTGGTCCTTAGCACTTTTAGAATATATTTTTCAGAAAATGGTCAAAAATGCATTTTAAATTATGTGAAATGAATAGAATGTCCTCTGTTTATAGTTTAATTTAAAAATGTTTTTGCCGTCAATACTTTGGTTCAAAAGTATCCTTGCAGTCAATACTTTGGTTCAGAAATACCCATATAGTTACTAAATAGGTCAAAAATGTCTTTTTTCGAAAATGATAATATATTATTTCATTTCTATTTAAACACATCTTCTTCCTAATTAAAATATATTTTAAGAACTCTATTCTTGTTTTCTTTCTTTTAAAATCACTTTAACAAATAAAAATATAGGGAAAAATTTTTCTTCTTAATCTCATTTTATCAAAGAAAAAAGGACATATATCTCCCGAACTATTATAAATGATATGTATATATTCTTCGTTATACTTTACGTATGTATGTTCCCACAATCGCAAAAAAGCAGCCTCCAGAGTTTGAGATGATTATTCTACTGTGTGCTTTTAACCTCTAATCTATGCATTGTTCTCCGCTGTTGCAATTCTGTGGGAAATTGCGTTTGTTCTCCAGTATTGCAATTTCATATGCATCGTTCTCCACCCTCTATGATACATACTATTTATGATAGTTCGAGATATATTTGTCTTTTTTTCCTTTTTATCAATTAAAATAGAATAATTTCATGATCACTTTCGACGGATGATATATGTCATATATATAAGATCATAGTATATATCCATCATTAATTTTTATTTACATAACAATAAAAAATAATTATAATAAAATAAGAAATATTTTTTATTTTTTATTTTTTTCTGAATTAAAGTAGGATACACATTTGCTAATTTTAAAAAATACTAGTTTTTGAACACGTGCAACGTACGTGTATCCCATATTAATTGGTGCACACAATTTAAAAAGAAATATAAAAAATTAGAATATGTGTGCCATGAGTTGCACGAAATTATAGAGAATTTTTTTTTTTTTTTAAAATGCCTAGAGATGTATAAAAGAAATATTGAAGCATTAATCTGATGATATCATCCTCTAATGTATAAAAATAAAAATGCCAAGACATGAGAGCTGGACAAGAAGAGAATATTTTTCCTCCATACGTTCATAGAAAAAGGAAAAAGGATGAATAATCAAGCAATTATCAAATGTTTACCAAAAGTGGCCAATATGAATTTACAAACATAAATATAGGAAACAACTCGTGAAAAGTTATATAACTCACACTCACAGACACAATCTTGTTTTAGCAACCTGTCAAACTCCTTTTTCTCGGTAAGGATAGGCACGAAGTCACTCGACTGAAAGGAGAGGGAACAATCACAACGTTACACCCCAAAATTATACGGAGAATAGATAACAAGTATTAAAATTCACAAGATATTGTAGGAACAAATATTATGAACGAAAAACATGCGATTAATATTTATTTTTTTGCATTTTGATTTACATGTCTACTTACATAATAAAAAGAGATCAACAAAGATGTAATTACAAATTACAATAAAAAAATTTAAGTATGAATAATCAGAAATCAATCAGTGGAAGAAATCAAAGCATTGGAAAATTTGGGTAAAAGAAAGAGATACATTTATAGAATTAACATACTATTTGACTCTTCATTACCCTTCACCTATGTTACAACTCTTCGTTATCCAAGTCTACAACTTTTCAGCTAATTTTCAGTTGTAAGATGGAAGCATCTACAAAGCAATGAATAAAGAATAATGTCCAAAAAAATTAATAGATTACACTAAATGCTTGGCACATTCAGGGGATTCAGCCTACTATATATATATATATATATATATATATATATATATATTTAATTAATCATATATTATAATATAGCATAGATGTATAATGATAATCCAACTTTGAGGTTAGGATCTTCTCACTTTTAGTAATACTGTATATGATATATGATGATATGACATGATGATTATGCCTTGACTGAAGAGTTCTGTCTGCAAATGTGTATAAGAATATTCTTTTCTTTATCCCTTAAGGTTCAGCCATAATGTGTCCCATGAAATAACTATTTCTAATTGGCTTTGTTTATAACCTGATTGATGGCTGATCGATGAGATAAATTCTAGTGATACCATGAATTGGATGCAAGAAGTTTATATTAGCGGGAATAAGTGGGTGACTTTTTTGTAGCATATGTGCTTTTGAAGAATTCTAGTGTCTATGAAGAATGCAGTGGGTTTAAGTTTTGTTCATCACTGAGAGTTGTATAGATGTAACCAATTTACCATTCATTTTAGTTCTATAACTTGACAACGAAGTTCCAAAAACTGTAGAAGGCATCTCGTTTATTATGTGATTAGTAAGCTATTGACGGATGCAAATAAATAAAACAGAAATTTATCGGATCTATTTTCTGAAACAGAACGGCTCTTGATAAAGAAGAAAAAAACAAATTTACGTGAGATAACACAATTAACAACATGAAGAACAGAGACATTCATGATAAAGAGAAAACAAATTAAGCTAGATAAAAAAAAACACAGTAGACAGGAAAAACAGAGCAGCTCTTGATAAATAAAGAGGAGAATTTAATTTTTTACCTACAATGATGTATTTGGTTGAGGCGCAGAGAAGAGAGAAAAATTAATGGGACAATGACATGTTGTTGGAGACATTTATATAGATCACTGAAGTATCTGAAAAGGTTTTGGAATAGCTGATAATAAAAGCAATGGAACTTGACCGATGGAAAAGGGCTATTACAATGATCGAGGGAGGTTGAGCAGCAACTCTACGTTTTTGGAGAATTAAATTAGGGCTCAGATTATCAGCAAATTAAATATTTAATAAACTAATATTTAAGTAATATTGTAGGGGAAAAACGGTAAATCAATTTTGGGGTTAAGCTCTTCCCACTTAGTAATACTAGTTTTTGGACATGTGTGTTGCACGTGTGTCTCATGCATTATTATATAAACTCGTTAGGACGATTAAAATTCAATGAAAACATGTGTGTAATGAGTACTAAAGTGCAACAATCTCAAATAAATGTTATGATAATAATTTTTTTATTGAAAAATTAAATTAGAGAAGACTAATAGAGAAATATAAAAAAATAAACAATAGAAGAAAAAAATAAACAATATGCATCCTTCTTAAGACTTTAATCATAACATTATATAAATAAAAAAAGAAATACAAAATTGATACATAATTTTTCCAAGTTTTCTGTCGACACCTTCTCTTATATCCAATCAAAATTCAAAAGTCTTCTCCATCGAGCAAACTAAAGCATGAATCAAATAGAAAAATCAACTTTTATTTTCGTAAAAGTGATATATAATCAGACTAAAGTAGATATATCATATACTTTTAGATGTTGATGACTTTTACTACATTAACTATAAAAATGAAAAGGATAATTTTTGGATGTGAGTTTCATGAAACAAAAGAGATGAATTTATATAGATAAAAATAGAGGAATACCAAAAAACATCTTAAAGTTTTAAATTAAATATTTGATGGTTTCAAAGGGACAAAATTGATAAAAGAGAACAACTTTAAGAATATTAAATATATGCAATGAACCTAGCTCCATTAAAATCTGGAAGAGTAAACAATCCTTTGAACACATGAACTCTCCATTTACTGAATGTAATAATTGATTATCACTAATATTTAAACATGTTCTTAACTAAATATTTATAATATTTTAATTTAGTGTAGGGGCAAAATGGTATTTCAACTTTCAACTTTTTTTTGTTCCAACTTTTGACGCACATGCGTTGCACGTGAATATCAAACCATGTACTACACTATTTTTAAAAATTATGTGAACATTATTAAAGAAAAAAATAGTAAAAATTATAAAATGAATGATAAAGTATAAGTTCCTATAATAGTGGATGTAAACTTTCTTATGATTACTTCTGAAAGTTAGTCACTCTTAATATCTCTTAATTTCACCTCTTAAATATAATTTATATTCCCTACCACATAGTGCATTACTTAGTTATTAATATATTTTTGGAGTTCTTACTTTTAATATAATATAATATAAATAAATATTGATATAAAATATAGAAGATATAGTAAATTAGATGCTTTTAGTTGAAATATCACTATATAAAAAATGATCTTTAGCAGAAATTAATTAGCAATTGCCGCTAAATATGTATTTTTAGCGGCAATTAGCGCTCTTTGTATATGTCCCAAAATGCTTTAGCGACATTGGATATAATGGCACTTAACTAATATCGGTAAAGACTTTAGCACTCTTTATTAATGTGTCTATTTATTGCCGCTAAAAGTTCTTTTTGTTGTAGTGTATTATATTAATTTAACATTCATGTTAGGGAGTGCTCAAATTTCATTTAACTTTGAGATAACCAACGTCTATAAATCAAACTTGAGTTTTAAAGAAGAGAAAAGTAGAAAACATTAAAAAATCTTAGTTTAAAATGTGAGGAGACCTCTCCATTCATAGTTAATGTCACGCCCCGAACCTACACCCTGGACGTGGCCGGCACTCGAAGAAAGCGATTACTCTTTTTCTAGAAAACTAGCCCGAAGGCTCTTTGGAAATCTCAATTTCAAATCTTGTTTAAATGTGAAAACATTTCTTTAAAACTTCTTTGCGAATACTTAGTTCCCTAATAACTTTTGAGAAATGAACTCAACTTTATACTCTTGACTTAACTTGAAACTCGATACTCTTTACTTAACTTGAAACTCTATACTCTTTACTTAACTTGAAACTCTATACTCTTTACTTAACTTGAAACTCTATACTCTTTACTTAACTTGAAACTCTATACTCTTTACTTAACTTGAAACTCTATACTCTTTACTTGACTTGAACTTGAGCCTAAAAATGAAGTTAAAACGTTCAATAAAGACTCTTGAACAACTTTAAAGACTTGCTTGGACTTACTTCTTAA